CGTTTGATCAAGATCCCCTTGTAATCTCTTCACTGTCTACTATGCCATCAATTTTGATGTCACCTGCAAACTTACTAACTGCGCCTTCTATATTCTTACCCAAATCATTTATATAAATGTCAAACAAAAGAGGACCCAGAACAGATCCCTGTGGAACACTACTGGTGACAGGCCCCAGTCCAAAAAAACAACCCTCCTCCACCGTTGTCTGTCTCCTGCCGTTATTTGAATGCTTAACATTTTGTTACAGGGTAAAACAAAAGCATATGGTTAATTGACTACTGTCAATCAGCAGTGAAGTTTTGTATTTCCTAATTGATCTAAAGAATAATTATATTACCATATATGCTATTTGACAAGTTTATGATTGATGCCTGAAGGTTCCAAGCAAAAGTTTAAGAAACTGAAAGAATTTGTTTTGTATACATTCAGTTAGTTGTTGAATTTTTGACCCAGATATTCCCTCAAGACAATTTGACTATTTTATAAAGTAACTGGTTACCCAATTTAAACAGGTATGTAGCCAGCTTCAAAAGTCAAGTCTTTTTATGTATGATTCTGCTCTTTTTTTTAGACATTTTGGTGTCTTAATAGCTGTAGAATTGGTTTGGTGAACGGTCATGGTCATTTGATTTCATAAAGGAGCTGGGTGAGATTTGGTTACTTTTGAGTTCTAATATGCGAATTTAATATGATTAGATCATAATTGGATTCTATTATTTGTCAGTATGATTTGCATCATTGCCTTTTCTTTGGAGAGGTAATGTTACCGGCACAATTCAATATTGCAATTTGTAGTAATTGCAATTGCTTATCATTCAGTTAATAAAATGTAAAGTTGCAACATTGAAGTTTCACGTGTAAGCTAGAGACCATTGATGGATGTGAAAGCCACATTTTTTCTACTGGTGGCTGGTCAAAGATGTTCTAAGTTCATTGGTCTTGGTCTCATCAGGTTCCAAGATGCTTTTGTTTTGCTTGCAACAATAACCTTCCTATGCACACATTCTTCTCCCTGCATCCATTATTGTCAGAATATGCAATTGTGGTAGCCATAGAGTTTTGGTGGCATTACATTATAGCATTGACTCTGTGCAAGAAACAAACCATATATCAAAAGTTCATAAGGACAAATAGCATTAATGTTTCATATTTGTTTAGCCTGAAACACTTAAAAGCATTTCAAAAAAGTATATTCAAAGCAAGTTGTTAAGTGTAATTTTTGTTAATTATGGAGGTCTTTGTTTTGTCGTTCTCAAATTCAAGTTGCAATCTCTTTTGTCAAGCAAAGCGAATAATGCATTCAAAAGTATCTTGAGCAGTTCATTACACTGTGTATATGTTTCTTTCACAAATGCTAAAAACTGAGAAGGGGTATTAGTGCAGTGTCGTTACTGATGGCATTGTTGTGTTGCACCAATAATAACAAAGTAGATAACTAATAGTGGCAACTTCTCAGTTCTAGTCTGTTATAGCACTATCACAGAATTCCAGCTGTTTCCTTTTTGATTTTGGACTCATGACCTGTGCAGTAATTGTGTGCTACGCAATCATTCTTCAAATCATAGAAATATTACAAGCCTAGACATTTTTTTTAATATCAGCCTGAGTAAAGTAAAAACATTGCCACCAGTAAATAATTTCGGAATTAAAACAATTGAGGCTACAGTTCACGTGCATTTAAAAATAAACATCAAAAATTGAGATTCTTTACTCTGCAGAATTGAGAGCCCAAAATTCATACGGCACGCAACCTATGTGCAGGGTTAGGCCACTCAACCTGTTGGGTCTGCTGCACCATTCGATACAAAACATTGTCCTCGTCTCTGTCTGAAATGGATTCTTTACCCAGTTTTAAATTCAACTACAAGAGGAAGTTTCATTTCTACATTTACCCTGTTCAGGGTCCACAGGATCTTATGTTTCAATCAAGTTGCCTCTCACTCTTCTAAGTTCCTGGGAATTCCGGCCTAGCCTGTCAAACTTTTCCTCAGTTGACCTGTCCCAGGTATTGGTCTAATAAATCTTCTCTGAACTACTTCCGACACATTTACATTCTTTCTTAAATGAGGAGACCAGTAATGTACACAGTACTCCAGATGTGGTCTTAACATTGCTTTGTATAGCTGAGGCAGAAACTCCCTCCTTGCGTATTCAAGTTCCCTCACAATAAATAACACTCTAAGTTTTCCTAAGTACTTACTGTACCTACATGCTAATCTTTTGTGATTCATGCCATAGGACACCCAGATCCATCTGCACCTTGAAACTCTACAGTCTTTACCATATAGATTGCATACTGCTTTTTGTATTCTTCACACAGAGGGTGGTGGGTGCCTGGAACGCGTTGCCAGCGGAGGTGGTAGAAGTGGGCAGGATAGCGTCATTTAAGATGTATCTAGACAGATATATGAATGGGCAGGGAGCAGAGGGATACAGATCCTTGGAAAATAGGCGACAGGTTTAGATAGAGGATCTGGATCAGCGCAGGCTTGGAGGGCCGAAGGGCCTGTTCCTGTGCTGTAATTTTCTTTGTTCTTTGTTGTTTGTTGGCTCAATCTAATTACTTTGAACTTTAAGTATCCAGCTATAGCATCTTAAAAATATCTTCTGCCATGTTTCCATGACACATTGAGTTTGCTGGCCTGTAGTTTCCTGTTTATTTGAATAAAGGAGTTACATTCACTTTTGCTGAATCTAAGGAATTTTGGAACATTCAAGCTGAGTTGCTCACTAACCACTTCTTTCACAATCCTAGGGTACGGTACTTCAAGTGTTGAGAACTTGTTGGTCTCAGCTCTGACATTTCCCTCAATATCACTTCCTTGGTGCTTATACTTTTCTTGAGGTTCTCCCTCCTTTGCACATCTTGATTTAAAGCTGTTTTTCAGATGTTACCTGTATGGTATTCAGTGAAGACTGATGGAAAATATCTGGTTAATTTGTCTGCTCTCTTTATTTTTCATTATTACTGCCTCAGACTCACTTCCTATAAGAACAGCACGTACATTAGCTCTCATCTGTAGCAACTCTTACCGTCTGTTTTCTACTTAACTTTTTCTCATGTTCTAACTTGTCCTTTCTTATTAATTTCAATTTTCTTCATTCTTTACTGTACTGTCCAATCTTTTGATTTCCTATTGGTCTCTGCAATTATATACTTTTTCTAGAATTTAAAGATTTAGTTAACAATAGGACGTTGGGTTCTCTCTTTTGGAATGTTTCTTTCTTGTAGGAATGTGTGTATTCTGAAATACCCCTTTAAACATCTGCCACTGCATGTCTCTTTAACTATCTCTTAACCTAAATTGCCAGCTTTCGTTAACTAGTTCTGCTTAATTAATGATTTATTTTGACATAGCAATAGTTTAAGACTAGAGAATCTGTCCTGAACTGACTTTGCTTTCGTTACTGCAGATAAGGAATGAAAGATGTTTGGCTCAAATTGGAGAGGAAGCATCTGTAATTCCTAAATGTATGTACAAATCATATAATTAAAAGGGCACCGTGTGGACATCTAAACTCAATTTGGAGGAGGAAGAGCTTCTTGCATCCACTTGAATCTGCAGCTGGAACTGCTGAAATTTTACAACTACCTTTGGCACACACAACCTCAAGCATTTTTGGATAGCCAGGCTAAAATTCAGAGAGTAGGGATGGAGAGTCCTGGACGGCTCAGTGGATGATAGCTTTGTCAGAAATGAAGGACACTTTACCACCCTAATCAAGTTTATTTTCTCTTTAAAATAGGTATCTTGCTACTGTAAATCTGGCATAGACAGACGAAAGTTGACCAGTCCTGGTGAAAGTTCAGGAAGTAACAGAGCTTGCCAAGAAACAAGTTTGCCTCGGGGATCCTTCCCCAACTGTGCTGCCACTTTAAACATCCAGAGTCTCTGGAGGCTCAAAACCAACTGCTTGATTACATTTTTTTGAGAACAAAAATTTTTGTGGTTGAGTCGTAGAAGCTGTGTCCTATAGTAAAACCTTGCTGCAATAAACTCTGGTATTTGAATAGCTTGTTTCCCACCCTCCTACCCACCTCCCTGCATCAGTGGTTCAGTTTTACAATTAAGACAGGACTTGAAGCTTTGGTCAAATTAATCCATGATTAAAACTGATATTTTCCTCAGCCCCATATCTTAATAATGATGACATTCAGTTGTTTCTCAATGAGGTGCTTTGCGAATAGCTGTTATTGTTCTAATTTGGCAATTGTTGGCTCCAGCCTTTGATTCAATTATTGCAAGACAACCAGTCACTCTGAAAGGATCGTATTTTGACTGGGACTAGAATAAACTGTACATCAAAGGTTATGAAGTGAAATCTAACCAGTATTTCAACTACTTTTAGGAAGGTAGACATATCTTCTGAAAATATATGAACTGAAAATTCAATGAAAAATATTAATTATTCAAATGTTATTTTATGACCTAATAACAGTATGTAAATGTTCACATCAGTCAAAATAATGTTTTGTTAAGTAGTTACTATGTTGTTATAGATGGTAGAAATTTCTCCACTGAAATTACACAAGATTTAAAGATGCATCAGATATCTATTACACTGTAAGCTCATCAGTCTAGAATGCTTGGAGCCAAGTTGCTTCAGAATTTTCTGGATTACAAGATGATATTAGAGTGCCTATCCATGTGTGAGAGACAGAAGACAACCTAGGTCTATTTACCCAAAACACAAAGCAGTGATAAAACTTGTTTTACCGATCTAAATACTATAACATGTTTGTGTTCCCAGACGATTTTATTAATATGATAAGATGTTGAGGATCTGCTCCAAAAGAAATTCCAGACAAGTGATTCTGAACAATAGATTTCCAGACTGAAGTGTTTACAGTGTTAACACATTCATAAGTATCAATGTCAATGCTTTTTGTATTACAGTGGACAGAACAAAGAAATCTCGTATATGTATTGTGATTGAAAATTTGAATTGTAAATAGTTTAGCCTTTAATTGTCAGACTTACTTTTGGCACTTACAGGAAAGAATTATAGAACGTCTTAAGGAGCAACGTGAAAGAGATGATCGGGAAAGGCTCGAAGAGGTTGAGTCATATAAAAAAGAAAATAAAGATCTTAAAGAGAAGATTAACAATTTACAAGCAGAATTAGCAGAAAAAGAGGTTAGTCAGTAATCTTACATACTGTTTGCATTTTAAATGTTATCAGAATAACCCTTTTACAGTTGCCTAGATTTTGTGACAACAATAAAACTCAGTCTTCAGCATCTTTCTGTGAAACTGACAATGACTTCTGGTGTCTAACATGCCCAATTAAAAGTGAAAAACCAGAAGTTGTTATGGTTTTCTCCATTCTATCTAAGAAGTATTACTGAAGTACCTGCAGTTGATGTGAAATGCCACTTTTACTGCTTTTAGTCTCAGTGTAAAAACTCTTGAAAAAGTTAATTTGCACAAAAATAGTGCTAGAAAAACGCAGCATGTCAGTCAGCATCCATGGGGAGAAACAGAATTAATGTTTCTGGTTGATGACCTTTCATTGGAGCTGATGCACAACAGAAATGAAAGTTTCAAGTCACTGGAAGGAGAAGGCAGAATGAGCAGACAAGAAGTTCTTTGATACAAGACTTTGTGCAGTAGCCGAAGAGTGTCGTCCTGAAAACACAGGCGAGGTCTAAATGAGGTGTGAGTTGGTAGATGAAAATCACATTTTACTTTGCTTTTGGAAAAAAAAAAGCCTTATTCATGGGGTGCAACTGGGTTTTTAGTAGCACGTTGTCGTAATTACTGCTTAACAATCGCTTGGGCTTTGAGTAAATAATTTTACATTTTCTATTTTTATATTTTATATTTATAGAATTCCAAATTTCTCTATGATGTCCTAAAACTAAATGTATAAAATTCTGATAGCACTAAATGGTAACTGCATGAAAGATGTTTCCGGTGACTAGGGAGTCCAGAACTATGGTCACAATCTAAGGATACACAGCAGGCCATTTAGGACTGAGATGAGGAGAAATTCCTTTTCCCAGAGAGTGGCGAGCCTTTGGAATTCTCAGCCACAGAACGGGTTGAGGTCAAAACATTAAATATTATCAAAAAGGAATTAGTGTAGTTCTTAGAGCAAAAGAGATAATGGGTATGTGAGAAATTCAGAACAGGGTACTAAATTGGATGTTGAATGGCAGAGTACGCTGAAATGACCATACAGCCTACTGCTCCTATTTTCTATGTTTCTAAAACTTCCATACGTTTGTAAAATAATTTTTTTTATTTTTAAGTTTTGATATTTCTGCTTGTATTTCTCTGTGCCAAGTTTTATTCCACTTTTTTTGTAAGATTGTAAAAAGTAATTTTACCTAGTTCACTGTTTATGAGAATTCTTCATTGAGATTAACTATGTAGTCTACTTGATGGCACCTCTATTACTAGATGCCAGATTCCCTGGACTTGGCATCACAATGATCAACTCAATGGTCAATTGCCGCCCTGTCTGCCCACTCTCAGTCACCATTAAAGTGATGCAAGGTATAATTGACAGTGCTATTGAGCATCAGTTAGTCAACAATCATCCTCAGTGACAGTATATTTCTGCCAGGATAGCTCAGTTCCTGACCTCATTACAGTCTCAATACAAATATGGACAGAAGATCTGAACAGATATGAGAAAGTAAAGATAACTACGTTGACATCAAGGCAGCTTTTGGCATAATGTGGCATCAAGGAGCAATACCAATGCTACAATCAAAGGGAATCAAGGGCAGATCTCTCCATTAGTTAGAGTCATACTTGGCACAAGGCAAGATGATTGAACTTGCTGGGTGTGTTTCATCTCTGCCACAGGACATCACTTCAGGAGTTCTACAGTGGTGGTGTTCCAATCCCAGCCATCTTGAGCCACTTCATCAATGGTCCTCTCTCCGTCATCAGATAAGAGGTAGTGATGTTCACTGATTTCAATGTTCAATACCATTCATGATTCGTCAGATACTGAATCAGTCCATGTTTAAATCTCCAAGATTTGGACAATGTTCAGGTTTGGGCTGATTAGTGCCAAATAACATTTGTGCTCCACTTGTGCCAGATATTGACCACCTCCAACAAGAGAGAATCCAACGATCACCTGTTGACAATCAGTGGCATTAGAATTGTAGAATTCTCCACCATCAAAATCTTAGGTGTCTATGATTGACCAGAAGCTGAACTGGATTGTCCATATAGATACAGTGGATACTGTCATGTCCCAGGTTCAGAATTCTGAAGTACTGTGAACATTTTTTAACTTATTGGTTTTATTTAAGAAGGCTGGTGCAGCCAATAATGGCTGTGTGTGTAAATTAACTGCTGTCTTGAGGGAGACTGGCACCAATTTTTGTACCTGAAAATGCGAAGGGAACTTCAAACAACAACCTTTAAAGGGGAAGAGACAAGTCAAACAGACTGAGCTGTGATCTCCTGTGATGACAAAGATAATGAGTGCTGATGATCCCCTGCTCAACAGCAAGCTACTCCTGCCAATTATGTCATAAATGGCAGATAGATTGTACATTTTTCCCTTTGAAGAATACACAAGGGCAGGGATTAAAAAATCAGTTTCAGCTGTTCTGGAGAGTGCCAGTGGGACTGATTGGTCTAAGGTAAACTTGCTCTAGTCTGAGTTTGAGTATTAGCGTGCTTTGAAGGTTACAGTTGAAGAATTATCCCCTAGCCACCTCTGTGTTACAGGTAAAGGTATTCTCTCTGGTGAAAGCCAGACAAAAGGAAACAAGACAACCAGAAGACTCTATTTCTCCCTGAATGCTGGAATTCAGTATTGTTTGAAAAAAATCGGAATGACAAAATCCCAACCAACCTGTAAAACTAAGAATCTTGAAATATACTACAACCTTCAAATACAAATGTCAATGGTACCAGTATCTTCTCCTGCAACAGTTGCGACACTCAACATTTTTTCATGCACAATTTAGAAATTGATCTGCATTTTTGTTTTACCATTTTCTTCCTTATTTCTAAACTGTATTATGTTACTAATTCTTGTATTTAGTAATCAATAAATGCACTTAACTCAAGGCTGGTTAAGTTGTCTCCTTTTTAAAACTTAAGTTCATTTTTATTTTGAATTAATCTGGTTGTGACCAATCGAGGAGGCAGGTAAATAAAAAAGGGGAGCCAGTTCATCCTGTGTGACCTGTCTGGAAACTGTAACAAATTGGGGAACCTTGTCCAGGATCTGGGCATAATAATGGTCGAACAGGTCAGAGGAAGGAATTCTGCAGTGAGCAGGTGACCACCATCTGGAAGAGACATTTCTAGAAGTGCAATGGAGTACTGTCCACTTGCCTGGATGAGTGCAGCTCCAACACCACTCAACTCTCTCTACCCATAAGAAAACACTCGTTTGGCACTCTATCTAGCACCTTCAACATTCACTCCCTCCTCCACCAACAAACAGTGCCAGCAATGTGCCATCTACAACATGGACTGCAACAACTCGGCAAGGTCCATTAGATAGCACCTACAAAACCTGCAACATTACTACCTAATATAGGAGTATAGCTGCCTTTATGTTCTCCTCCAAGCTGCATATCACAACATCCTGACTTGGAACAATACAAAAACATAATGAGTGGTGACATCCAGGCCATGGAGCCTTGTGAATCTTTGCAGGAAGTTTTCATTGAGGTCAGCATCTCTTCATCACTGAATGCGAATGCATAAGCTTATTGGTAGATCCATTGATCCACTCTCACTTTTAAGGAAAGTGTTCACATCTACATTGTGCTATATGCATTTCTGCATTTGAACAATATTCTAGTGAGCCAAATATTGAAAACTTTGAATAATTTAGTTGTAATCTCGTTCAACTGATTGGGCTTCCCAAGATTATAGTGGTTCAGTGTTTTTAATTCACTCAATTGTAAATTACACTCCAAGGCATAGAAACTCAGAATCACAGCCACAACACTGGAACCTTCTCTTGCATATTACTCCTTCAACTGTAGTTTTACTACAGGGAATACTAATTGCACCCTAAAGAGTTAGGCCAAAATTGTTTATTACTATAGATTTACAGAAAATAGATTTAAATATCTAGGAAGAATTGAATGCAGTCAAAGAATGCACTTGAAAATTATTTTTAGAGTGTCATTTCCTGAAAGTAAATATAATTATTTCTTTTAGTCTAGTTTGATTGACTTGAAGGAACATGCATCTTCATTGGCTTCAACGGGCTTAAAGAAAGATTCCAAATTAAAATCTCTAGAAATAGCCATAGAGCAAAAAAAAGAAGAATGTAGTAAGTTGGAGGCACAATTGAAGAAGGTAAGTGTAACATTGGGCACAAACTAAGTTTCTTGGTTAGTAGTTGAATGGCTTGGTGGTAATCTTGAATTGCTTAAGGATTCCTGCCAAAAATATTAAGACTTAGACATTGAATTAGTATGGGTCACACATCTTAAAGACCTTGAATTTCTTTTACCACAATTGTAACACATTAACCAAATATTTAGATTGCCCTTGCTTTTAAGGTAGCAGTAACTGTCTGTATATTGGCTTGTACCTTTTTTTTGACTGATTGAAGTGAAATATGTACTTTATTTTCTAAAGTACCTCTCTTTCACTCTGGCTTCCTTGTAAGTTTCTCACTGCTTTATTCAGATGAACTCTTCCTTGGGTTTCTCATGTTTCTTTTTCTGGTGGGGAGGGGGCTTTTTACCTGATTTCTTGTACATAATTCAAGAGATTTGAGCTGTTTGTCCTTGTATGATTAGTAATACACGTTATTGTTTCATATTTTGCTTTTGGCTATACGTATTAAGAATGTCTAAACTTCTGGCAATCAAAAAGTAGTTTTGATAGTTGATGTGTAGCTATCTAAACTTGAGTTTTGCAGGCACAGACTCCAGTTCTCTTGTGACCATTACATGCTGCATGCGCAAGTCCTGCATTAGTGATGACTCAAGAAATAGGATTCCTGAAATTCATTTGGGGGTGGACCTTTTATCTCGCAGATTATTTTTCAGGAAAAATAATTTATCGAATACAATTGCAATTTTTTTTGTAACTTGGGACTAAACTTAATGAATGTGGTTTTATTGCAAGGTTTCAATTATACTTTTGGAAATTATCCAATAATTTTTAAATAAAAGAAGGATTACTACAGACATTGATGAATATTCCAAGTAGCTCAAACTGAAAGGAATCCTTGAAATTAAGAAGTTTGGAAAAAACCTCAGATTTTTCTCCAATTGACACATTAGTTGCACCATTTCTCTTGCAGTGTGCTTAAAAATAATGTATCTGATGTTTTCAGTGTGGATACCACAATTGTATTAGATCATCTAAGATGCACATCAAACTAACAGTTGTTATAGCTATTGGAACCTCAAAGACACAACACACAATTGGTCTGATGATTCATATTCTAGAAAACAACTGATAATAGCATTATTTACAATCATGATAGTTTATTACGTACTTTTCCCAACCCCGTTGATCTAATCTGATTCATCAATGTAATTTTTTTTAATGTGGAATGCTACTTTATCATATAAAGCACTGATTTGTGAAGTTGAAGTCTGGTCATTAACTGTTACTCAGATGCCTTAAATAACTTTAATTCTTGTTTTTGTAATGTCATAACATATAGACGTATTCCGTACACTACTAAAAATTTCCTTGTTATAAATGCCGTGAGCAGAAGTTCATTCTCTGAAATCACACTCGCTGAATTGCACATTCCTGCAATTTCTGTAGCAGGACATTAATTGAAGAGAGCACCATGCCTTCTCTCGTTGCTCATTTGAAAGAGGAACTTTCAGACCATATAATTATATTTTAAGTAAACATTATGAAAAGCCACAATACTTCACAATTTCTTGCTTGCTGGAATCTAAACTAACTATTATCAAAACAGGCAGAATACAAAGAGAGTTTGTAAAGCAACAACTGAAACATGTGAATTTTCACGTAAACATTTGGCAAATGCTTATTACCCAATGTAGACACGTAACAAAAACAAGCACTATTTTCAATCTGCTCTGGAAGAAACATTAGAAAGTTGAATGCCATTTACCTATAGTATATGAATCACTGCTTCTGATTTCAGGGAAGTGATATTTATCTTAAAAATGTAAAATAATGTGATGTTAAGCATTCCATTGGCCATGATTTTTGCTGGCTCCTTTTGTGATGTAACTTCGTTTATTTTGGCTGAAAGTCATGTAGACAGAATCCAAATGTCTGCTGTTTGATGTTTTATTATTGTTGGTTTTCTGCTCAGTTATGAACATTTTTAAAGAAAATCCCTATTCATTAGCCAATACATTCTATATAATGTATGTTAATTGAAACACTATTGAACTTGACCAATGAGAAAAATCTGCAACAATAATTAAAGCACACACATACATTAACCTGGATGAGAAACTTTAAATGACTTGTTGGTAATTTGCTTATGGCCAAAAACATTAGATTTCAGAAAATCCTCTTGCACCTATCAAAATGGTTTTTTGTATTAACTTGTAATTAAATGTCACTTACTCCATGTGATTTATTTTAAGAATTATACAGGGTCCTGCTTATTTTTAAAAATCTCTTTTAATAGAGCTGTCATCACATGGCAATCATTTTTTCCCTATAGGTCACCTCTACCCCACCCTAAGGAAAAAAAGGAATAAGTTAGAAAATGCCTGAACAATTTGTGCAATCATTAGTTTGACTTATTATAGGTTTTCACTTTTTTTAAAATAAAACTGAAATTTAAAGTTCTTCCTGCCTGGCATTCCATAATTGTGTTGCATTAATTTCAAAAGTTCTGCTGCTATCCAAGTTTTCAGAAAAAATAATCTGATTTTATTAATGCAGCAAAGCTTGAATGTTCTTGTTAATAATTTTTACTCTTGCAACACTTATCAGATTCTGAAAACTGTAACATTTGTTTCAAAAACAGCAAGCATTACAAATAAGTGATTAACATGAGTGTACAGATTTTCCAGTTGTTGGAGGCTGAAACTTGTGTGTACTGCTGTTTATGCTGTACACATTTGGTTATATTTAAAGCCATAACTAGCTTTATACATAGTTAAAGCTATAAAACATTTGATAATGCATGTTTTAATGATGTGTATGCCATAACCAAAGTTTATTGCTTAAAATAATTACATTAATTTGCTGGAAAGTTAGTCAGTATTTGAATCTTAGCCCACACTCCTATCCCTCAACCTTTCCATTCCCCAAATGCCCTCATCTCCTGCAGTACACTTTGGAGTCGCTGTAATGTCAAAGACCTCCTTATTGCCAATCCTCTAAGTGTACCATAGTAGTACCAATACTGCAATGACCTTTGTGAAAATGCATCCTACAGTTGAATTCACAGCAGTTTATTTTCTTTAAACCTCTTTCTTGGTGTAATGTCATTGAAACCAGCTGAACACTTGTAAAATTAATAGAAAAAGCAACTTTGAATCAGACAGTGAAGGAGTAGCAGTGCCAGCATAAATCACAGTCCTGTATGTGTGTTGACAGTGCTTACATTGAGCAACTATCTGTTTCTGAATCCCCACAGTGGTGTGAATGGCATTACAAACATTAGTCAACATTCACACTGATTTGTAGCTGGAAACAGTACTATAATAATGAGTGAACTCTTGCTTATAGTTCTTTATGGTAAAAATAATAATCAAATGTATTTCGTTAAAACTTCATATTAAGTCTTGCGCATTGTCTGAAAGTGCTATAACCTATATTCTTTCAATGTTGTTACAAATACAAAAATACTTTACAGAAAAATAACACTAAATTGTTTTAACCTATGCAATTAATTAAAATTTTCATATTCAGTATATAGCCCTACTTGTTACAATTCTGGCATTACCTGGACCACGTGAACTGAACCCCAGGGTTCTGAAGGAATAGCTGAGGAGTTTGTGGAGGCATTGATAGTGATCTATTAAGAAGGGTCCCAGAGGATTGAAAAATGGCTGATGTAACACCCCTGCTTAAGAAGGAAGCCTGACCTTGGTCTTTGATAATATTTTAGAGTCTGTTATTGAGGATGAGATTGCCGAGTACTTGGAAGTGCATGGTAAAATAGGGGAGGTTATGCCTGACTAATCTGTCAGAATTCGTTTGAGGAGGCAATGAACAAGTTAGATGAAGGAGCGCCAATGGTTGTGATCTATTTGGGTTTCCAGAAGGCCGCACACCTTGCTGCGCGAGATAAGAGCCCATAGTGTTAGGGACGAGGTACTGGCACAAATAGACGATTGCCTGACTGGCAGAAAGCAGAGAGGTGGGCTAAAGGGATCTTTTTCAGGATGGCAGCCGGTGACAACTGGAGTTCCTCAGAGGTCAGTATTAGGACCATAACTATTCACTTTATACCTTAAGGATCTGGACGAAGGCCTGGGGGCATTGTTGCTATGTTTGCAGATGACTCAAAGATAGGTGGAGGGATAGGTAGTGTTGAGGAAGCAGTGAGGCTGCAGAAGGACTTGGACAAGCTAGGAGATTGGGCAAACAAGTGGCAGGTGGAATACATTGTTGGAAAAGGTGAGGTTATGCACTTTGGTGGGAAGAATAGAGGCACAGACTATTCCCTAAATGGGGAAAGGCTTCAGAAATCTGAAGAACAATGAGATTTGGGAGTCCTAGTTCAGGATTCTCTTAAGGTTAACATGCAGGTTCAGTTGTCAGTTAGGAAGGCAAATGCAATGCTGGTATTCATTTGTAGAGGGCTAAGAATGCAAGAACAGAGATGTATTGCTGAGGCTATGTAAGGCTTTGGTCAGACTGCTTTTGGATAATTGTGAGCAGTTTTATGCTCTATGTCGAAGATAAAATGTGCTGGCATTGGAAGGGGCCCAGAGAAGTTTTCAAAAATGATCCTGGGGCTAAAGAGCTTGTTATATGAAGAGCAGTTAAGGACTCTGGCTCTGTTCTGGATGGAGTTTAGAATGATGAGGGGAAATCTGATTGAAATTTATAGAATACCGAGAGGCCTGGATAGTGTTGGCATGGAGAAGACGTTTCTCCATAGGAGAGACTAGGACCCGAGGGCAAAGCCTCAGTGAAGCTATGGACCTTTAGAATTGAGATGAGGAGGAATTTTTTCAGCCAAAGGATGGTGAAACTGTGGCACTGTTTGCTACAGAAGGCTGTGGAGGCTGAGTCATTGAGTGTATTTATGGCAGTGGTCGATGGGTTCTTGATTAGTGAGGAGATCAAGGGTTATGGGGAGAAGGCAAGAGAATGGGGTTGGGAAATATATCAGCCATGATTGAATGGTGGAGTGAACTAGATGGGTCAAATGGCCTATTTCTGCTCCTGTATCTTATGGTTATGGTCTTATAGTAATTTCCTTTACTAGCTAAGGGTGCCACTGAATTTTCTGCAAGTTAACTTCCACTGCAACAGGAAATTGTCATGTTTATGAAAAACTATGTTGTTTTGTAATGTACAATTTGTTCTGAAACTCCTTAATGATATGGTCCTAGTCTTTTATGGAGTTGACCGTCAAATAAGAAGCAGACCTTTCCATTGCAGGAGCTGTCCTTTTGACTTTGGGATAACTTCAAAATGTAGAATTAATTATTATAATTGAATGTGTTCAAATTTGTAACAAGAGTAAACTAGCATTTTAAAGGATGAAACTAGTCAATGGTGAATTCACAAGTTAATCAGGTCAAAGACAGCCAATATTTATTGTTGTTCTGCCAAACTTGCACTTCCTTTGAAGTCCATTAAATTATGTTTGCATTAAGAAGAATATATTTTAAATTTAATAATCTGGTTTAATCAAGCTTATCTTCAAAACCTACTTTGAAGCCTTCTGATTAATTATAATTTTAATAAACCAACAGTGTTGGCAGTGATTCTTCATTTGAGTTGAATACAAAACTATATCGTCAGTGATGGGAAGCTTGCTTTATTTCACAGAATATTTACCTCGGACGAGAAAGAAAAGGAAAGTAACACTAACCTAAAAATTTTTACTCTAGCCACTCTTTTTTTTTTTATAAGCCAAAAGCAACATTTGTGTTTCCTTAGTGCCTCTCACTTTCACTGTGGAATGTTTGGAAACTTAAATTTCTACTTCTAAGAGACATTTTCTATGCAAATTCATTCGATTTGTTGAGCTAATGCTGTTTTCCTGAATCTTTCCTTCTTCCTGTCTGTGCTTCATTCCTTCCCAACTTTGCAATGTAGCAAGCTGAGCAGTTGTTCAATCAGATGTACATACCAGTAAGTGGTTCTAAAATGCCCTCTGTAATATATGAAAGCATGAGGATCCATTGACCTAATATTGTGCTTATATCTGAGTGCGGCTCTGCAAACATTTCAAACGATCGCAATTTTCAGTCATGCTGGAATAAGTAAGCTATGTAGACTTCAAGGTCTTGGTTGCTTATGCTTAAATGGTAATTAATTAGAAACTGGCATAATGACACCATGATGTTGATTCTTGCGGTGATACCTTTAAGTCTACAAAGCCTTGGCAGACTGACAGTTTATGCACAGACCAAATTTAGTTGTATTTTGGCATACTCTAATGTTTTATCTTTTTAGGATATGATGATTGAGAAATTGGCAACACTGGCAAGTTTTATAGTAAAGGATTATACTCAAAATTCTTGTTCATGCAATTCTTGATTTGTTTGGAAAAACATAATGTGGAACACAGACACTGTTTGTTCTGTGCCTAGACTGTTGTCAGACAGGACTTCATTGCAGAATTGGGAGCACTTAGAGGGTTAACTTTTTATAATTAAATTAGTTCAAGTTTGCATGTTTCAATTACTTTATTTTTTAATCACTTAAACTCCTGTTTTTTGCATTTCAGTGATTTATTTTCACAAGATTATTCAGAATACTGATATTTTTTGTAGCTAATTTTGTTCATCAGCTTTAAAGATTTGTATTTACGTTTCTTGCTGTTTTTGTGAACTTCATGTGCAAATTTGTGAATCCTACACAAATACCACTTGTAAATCTTGTAAATTCAAATTTTGATTCTTGTATGTCTGGACATATGCTTATAACAATACAACAGCTTTTGAGATTAGTCTATAATTGAAGAATTAGCTTAAGTCAATCGAATCTTAAACTGATTCTGTGTAATGCTGGCATCTGAATGAACTATTATATGTTAACTATGCTCTCTTGAGAGTCAGATCGTGGAATTAATACTGTTAACAGTAACTCGTTTCATTGTGTTCATTACCTTTTAGAAAGTTGGCCAATCTGCTTTTCTTCATCCTGCCATTCTAATATAAATAAATGACAATAAATGAAGAACACTTCAGTGCTGAACCCAGGCATTAAGATATTTTATTGCTGACATGTCTGTAGCGCCACAAAAGCTACTTCACATTGTCGCTTCTAGATTTATTTCTGCTGTATTTAAATTGGTAATGAATGAATTTGTCATCTTTTCTCTCTCAATCAGTTCCTACATACCTAGTAAATAAGGGGTAATAAACCACTGATTTTGATAGCATATGTTTAGACAACTCTGAGTGATAATATGCAACAGAATATTGCTTGGTTTGGCAGTACAATTTACAACAGAACCAAGTTTACTGAAAAAGTGCATATAATTAGTAACAGATTATCCTTTAGAAATATTTTAAACAAAGCCCAGCAGTTTCTATCCATCACAAGATATTTTCATTTATTTAAAATATTTTTATTAAATGATGCACTTCTTTTTGGTCATCTTAGCATCTAATACAATTTATTAATGCAAAACATCACAAAGAATATTTGCATCCTCAGAAGAATAATGCTGTACTTCTATCATTCTGTATGTTGCAGTTTGTTTAGGTCATTTGTCATTCTTGTTTGGCTTGTTTTGTCTTATGTGCTTGGTTTTATTTTCAAGATACCAATTAGGAATTATGAGGAACATAGGGTAGGCCAAACGTTGCAGTGCTTTTTTTTTCATTATTTTGTGTGTGCTCGTTTGAAGTCTAAAATGTCAAACAACTGCAAATTTTCCTCCGCTGCTATTCATTGTATTCCAGTCCCATCCAAGATAATATATTTGAATTATTCCATTAGTAAAACTGTTCTCTACTTTAAAGCATGTGATTTAAGCTTGTTATGAAATTCATGGAGTTGTTTGTGTGTGTTTTCAATGTAATGAAGTGCTGTGTTATAGTATCATTCCAGAAATTTAAATTAAAATAACTTTTATGGTGTCACTTTCACTTTCTTTACTTTGCATGCAAAGGTTCATGATGCTGAAGAGGATGCTCATTTGAACCCAGAGTTGGGTGAGAAAATGAGGCAACTCGAGAAGGATGTGGCATACTTCAAAGAGGAGTTTGGTAAATCCCAAGCTGAAGTTGACAGACTTTTGGAGATCTTGAAAGAAGTAGAGACTGAGAAAAATGAGAGAGATAAGAAAATAGCAGAGCTTGAGAGGTAAGCATCAATATTTTAATTAACATCATCATGCCAGTTAAGCAACCAGATACTGGGACAAGATCTAGGAAGTTGATTTTCTAATAGTAAATGGAAAGATTACAAAACAGAAACATTAGGAAAATTAAACAAAGAGCTGTTGCTTTGCGCTATAACTAAAGCATGATTATTGGCATGCCATTCTCAATTTGTGTAAGAGCTTGTTCTAGAAGTTAAGTAAAGCATAGGACCTTGTCAAATGTCAGTTAAATTTACTGATTTGTCCCTTGCTCTGAAATGTTTGTTTTCTTGCGTAATTGTTGATACCAATTGCATGCCATCCTACCTCCCTCACTCATTTTAAAGAATAGAGACCTGTTTGTCGACTGCTGTCAAAACAGCTCTTATGCCTATCATAACTTTTTCTGCTTCAACCAGCAAAACTGGTTTTCGATATGCATCATTCCCTCCCTCCCTCCCCACCCCCACCACCACCACCACCAATTCACACACACCCTCATGCACTCCCACTCTCGCGCGCACCCTTGTGCGCACCTACACCTACACGCACACGCACACACACACACAAGTGTTATATATATACACGCACGATCACTCGTTCTCTCTCTCGTGCACGCTCTCTCTTCCCCCTCCTGGGATGGCAGCTAGTGTTGACAATTTGTAGGATATCACTTCAGTATATCATGCCATGCCAGTCAGCACAAAATATATTTATTATATATCATATAAAAAATCTTTTTCTGAAACAAGTTATCTTGAGTAATATTGAGTGTTCTTTGGAAAAAATCTTTCTACCTTTTATGTTGGTAATCATTTGCATGCATGGACTACCTCTAACATAGGAAAGCAAGGCAATTAACAGGAATCTCATAAGATAAAAAGTGACAGTAAACCAAAACATGGAGCTAATCAGAGGGGTGATTTAAAACTTGGTCAAAGAAGTAGATTAAAAATGAAGCATAAAAGTGACAGACACAGAAGGTTAGGAAAGAAAAGTGGAGATGGGGGGGTATCTGACTTACAGATAGGAAAGAATAAGAGATCAGAGTTAGATGATTGTAGGGTTTCATAGTTGCAAACTTGCAGGAAATTACAGTGTTATGAATGGGGCAGAGCCAGGAAGAGATTTAAGCATGAAGATAATTTTAAAGTCGAGGCTTGAGTGTACCAGGACCCAATTAGGTCAGCATGCCTGGAATGTGAAGGATGGTGTAGTGGATGGTCTGGTTTGAAGTCGAATACAAGTAACTAGATTTTGTACAAAGTTTGGCTTTTGGAGGGTGTAAGATAAGCAACTGAACAAGAAAACATTGTAATAGTCAATCTGGAAGTAACAAACATTCTCACTCAGAGCGACATTGTCAGAGAGGGGAATGGAATCAATAGCTGAGGGACAATGTTTGTGGCTGGGACCAATGACAAATAAGATCTAGGCCCTAAGTTTTGGAATTCCACCCCCACTTCCAAAGATACTCTAAATCATCACCTCTGTTTCCTTTATGACTTTCTTCAAAATAAAACCCTTTGATCAAACTTTTAGCTGCTATGCTAGTACCTCCTTTGCTTTGGTTTACCCTAGGGCTGAGTGTGTAAAATTCTTGGGTAACAAGGTCCGAATCTTTATTTTATACAAATGTAATTTAGTCTAATTTAGTTTAAGATGGCATGAAAATGAAATTTACGGTTTTTAAGTTGTGTCCTTGCTAGCCTTAGCAGGGTTTGTTCAAGTTGTCCAGTGAAAGAGCAGCTTAATGAAGAATCGGCTGAAATTAGCACCTCAGTGACTCAGACCTTTTGTGTAGGGGCATATATAAGTGGCAACTTAGTGTGACTCAGCTTTTGATTGTGACTAATAATAGAATGCCGGAGTTGAGCACCCCAAAGATATTAGCAGCGGAATGAAAAGAGATCATAGAATCATTGAATCCCTACAGCATGGAGGCCCCCGGGTCCAACAAGCCCACACTGACCCACAGAGCATCCCACTCAGAACCATAGTCCTATAATCCACCTAATCTAAATGTCCCTGACACTATGGGCAATTCAGCATGGCCAAACCACCTAGCCTGCACAACTTTGGACTGTGGATTGTGGGAGGAAACTGGAGCACCCGGAGGAAACCCACGCAGACACAGGGAGAATGTGCAGACTCCCCACAGACAGTCGCCCAAGGGTGGAATTGAACCCAAGTTCCTGGCACTGTGAGGCAGCAGTGCTAACCACTGAGCTACCATGCCGCTCAGGGTGTTTTGCCTAAACACAGCAGCTGAGTGACTGTTTGTAGTCCTTAAAGTAAAAGTAAGGTCTTCAGTTTGTGTTTAGGTTTTTTTTTTCTTCTTTCTTAAAAATAACTCATCAGGTATAAGATTATACTTATGTATACACAAGTATTAGTAAAGTCTAAAGAGCAAGGAAATCTTAAAGTGTGCAAAAGGAGAAAAGCTACCGAAATAAATTAAAGAAAGTACAAAAGTGATGGTAGGACAGATGATGTATTGCTGCTGCAGCTTGCGGGAGCTGCTGGACACCAAAGTGATTCAGAACAAAAACATCTGAGTTGAGGAACTGGATTCTGTGATACAGACATTGTGGCACATCAAGGGGGTGGCAAAGTTATCTGGACATTTTGTTTCAGCAGGTTGTCATATCACAGATACGATAATTCAAATTTGGTGTCTGAGTGATGGAAGGATCTGACTGCAAGTGAGGCATATATGGGGATCCATATGGTAGCTTTCAAAGATCCTCAGCCCTGAGATTTGTGCAAGCTGTGTGTTTGAGGGCAGGGACTGCAGAGAGAATGAGTGAATTGACCACAGCATGGTGGGACAGGGTGCTGTTAGCAAAAGTGGGGCAAGTAGTAGGAAGTGGCAGGGTACGGTATAATTAGTGGGAGAGATATTGCTGTCTGCCCTGGAGAGGGGATTGGTAGGATTAAAAGCAGGATAGAGTAGCTATTGGAAGTTGTAGAATGCATAAATGTGGATCTAAGGAGAAAAATGCTAAAAAGTCAAAACTGATGACTCTACTTAAATACGTGTAAAATTCAGAACAAAATAAGTGAATTACTGACGCAGAAGATTATTGGGTGTGATGTTATAGCCATTACCGAGACTGGTTACAAAGAGCTCAAATCTGGAAACTAAACATTCAGAGGTATGTGGCTTTTTAAGAGTAGGCAGGAAGTAAAGCGGAGTAGGTGTAGCTTTGTTTGTACAGCATCAAATAAGATACAATGGCACAAGATGATCATGTATCAAAAGATGTACATTCTATTTGGGTGAAAGTAAGAAATTATAAGCATAAATGACTCTTGCAGAAGTAGTCTAGAGGCCCACTAACAGTAGCTATACTGTAGGATACTGAACAAATCAGGATATAACTAGTGCATGTATATTAATGAGGGTTGACTATAATCTTCATGTAGGTTGGGAAATTCAAATCAGCAAAGGTAGCTGCAAGGAAGAACCCATAGAGTATTTGGGATAGTTTCCTGGCATGGTATGACGTGGATCCAACCGGGTATCAGCTTATTTTGGATCTGGTAATGTGGGACGAGACAGGTTTAATAAATGATATTGGAGTAAACGATCCCAAAGGAAACAGTGACTACAGCATGGTGGAATTCAGCATTCAAATTGACGGTGATAAACTAGGGTAGGAACCAACTGTACTTAACATAAAAAATTGAATTACAGAGGAATGAGGGCAGAGTTGGCTGAAGTGGACAGGGAAAGGAGCGTGAAAAAAGATACTCGATGATCAATGGCAGATGTTAAAGGAAATAGTCCATGACTTGCAGAAAAGGTAAATCTAAGTAAGGAAGAAGGATTCTAAGAAGATATACCAACTAAGATTGCCTAAGTGAAATTAACATAGTATCAACTTGAAAGAACAAGTATACAATGTAGTAAAGATAATGGTAAACCAAAAGATTGGGAAAGTTTTAGAAACCAGCTTGAGAAAACTGACGGGGGCCAGTGAGATGAGATAAAGTAAATATACACTTAGTAAAGAAATAAATTAATACTAATCAGTCAACATGGTTTTATCAAGGGTAGGTCATGTCTGATCAAGTTAATTGAGCTCTTTGTCAAGGTGACCCACGCTGTAAATGAGAGTAGTGCTGTGGATGTTGTATATTTGGATTTTCGGAAAGCAATTGATATGATGCTACATTGGCAGGTTGGATAGCAAATTAAAAATGTTTGGGGTTGATGGGTCCTTGGCAGCAGGGATTAGAATTTGGCTAAAAGATAGAAAACTAGAGGGTAGGTATAGATGGGCATTTCTCAGATTGGAGATGAGTTGAAAGCGGTGTTCCCCACAGATTGATGTTGGGATCTTTGTTTTTTCTGATTTATGTAAAAGATTTGGAGATGGCTATTGAGGCCAAATTTGCTTATTTTGTAGATGATACTAAGTTAGGGAGAATAGTGAATTGTGAGGATGATGCTGAGCGACTTCAGAGGACATTGAGAAGTTGGCCAAATGGGCAAACACCTTGCAAAGGAATTTCAAAGCAGAGAAATGTGAGGTAATGCATTTTGATGGAAGAGAAATAGACAGACAATACAGACTCAATGATGCAATTTTGAGGGGTGTACAGGAGCAGACAGATTTTGGGGTTCACGTGCAAGATTCTCTGAAAGTGAGTAGGCAGGCTGACAAGGTCAGAAATCACACAACACCAGCTTATAGTCCAACAGGTTTATTTGAAAACACAAGCTTTCAGACCTTTGCTTCTTCTTCAGGTGTTGGTGCGAGAGGTAGTATCAGACACAGAATTTTTAAGTAAAAGCATCAAAGGGTCACACCACTGACGAAGATATGTTGAAACAAGCCTAAGAATTCGTGATTTACATATACATTAATCAAATTTTGAAACGGTAAAGAAAGATATTCTGTTTCCACTAGTTGGTATATCAGTAACCTAGGGGTCACAATTTCAAGACTGTCAGCAAGAGAGCCAGGAGTGAGATGAGAAAAAATTCCTTTAC